TCAGAAAGCGCATCACACAGCCAGACAAAACTCAACTCAGAAGTTGAGGCGCCTCGGGGTGATGGTTTGTGTGATGTTGAGATGGAGAGGACCAGTTGCATCTATATCAATGTGGTACTCTCGGGAGGGCAGAGAACTGCTTATTCTTTTAAAGGGCATCTCACATCTTGAAGCTTGCATGATGAAAGAAAAAAAAACACGAAGAAGATGTACAGCATCTGCCTGCCAGGTGTCATCTCAAGGAAGAGATGTGTAATTTTGATTTTTTAAAAAAAATGTGGTCCAGGTTTTCCCCAAGCTCTGGGAGTCCTTCCAGTACAAATGTTTGGAATTAACCATTTCAGACTCTGGTTTATCCTTTGAGGCTTCTGGAGGGCTTAGAAAGGAATTTTTTTTCTTGTTATTTTTTTTGCTTGTTTTGTTTGTTTGCTTTTGTTTTGTTTGTTTGGGTTTTATTTTTATTTTTATTTTTATTTGTGACAGGGTTTCTCTGTAGCTTTGGAGCCTGTCCTGGAACTCACTCTATAGTTATAGACCAGGCTGGCCTCTAACTCACAGAGATCGGCCTGCTTCTGCCTCCTGAGTGATGGAATTAAAGGCGTGCGACACCATGACCCATCCTAGGAAATGTTTTTATTTGAGAAGATTTGGCTTAGAAACATCTTGATCAGCAAGGGAAAAGGATTCCAGGAGCAAGGCTGTCCCTGAGAACCACGTCCTTGACAGACTGTGGATCATGGAGTAGCCGCACAGACTGATGCTTCTGTGTGAGGTTAGATCTGGAGATGGCATTCTCTCTGGCTGTTTAACCTCTCTCCTCATCTAGACGGATGCTTCTGTGAGAGGTTAGATCTGGAAATGGGCATTCTCTCTGGCTGTTTAACCTCCTCTCTCCTCATCTAGTACTGCTGCATTCCCTCTAGCACTTGAGACTATTGGTTTGGAGTATATTTAGCAACACAGCCCGCTTTGACCCCACCTTGCAACCATTCCTGTCAAAAAGAACATTGCTGCACGTCCCCCTGTACGCCTCGGGAGCGACAAGACTGAGCCAGCTGGGTGTACTTCAGGCCCTTCTGAGTCTAAGTGCTCATTTATATCATAGTCCTGCCTAGCCTCACCGTTGCCCTCTGAGGTGAAGGCCCCAGGGCTTCCAGGACACCCTCGTGGAGCGATGTGTCCAGATTGAAGCTTACAGAGCAGGCGTTGTTCTAGGATGCTGGGACAGGGCCTGCTCCAAGTTCCTCTCTGATTTCTCAGCTGAGTTCCCTGAAGACAGACAGATAGAAGGCTTCTCGAACCCATGGGAGGTTTTCATCTCCCATCCTGCATTGCTTACTGAAACTGGCATTTTCCTCCAGCATAGAACGATGCACAGAGCAGAGCAGAGAATGGGAGCAGAGAACGGCCCCCTCTCTTGGAGTGCAGCACTCAATTGGGTTCTCACGTGCTCCTTACTCCACGGAGAATGAGCCCCCACTTCCCGGTGAGGGAGAGAAGGCACGGATACAGGAACTAATAATAGGTTGTGGAGGAAGAACACACTAGATTCTTTTAGAAATCAGTTGTGGGGGGAGGGCTGGAGAGATGGCTCATTGGTTAAGAGTATTGGCTGCTCTTCCAGAGGACCCAGGTTCAATTCCCAGTACCCACATGCCAGCTCACAACTGTCTGTAACTCAAGTTCCAGCGGATTCTACATGCAGGCCAAACATCAATGCATATTTTTTTAAAAAAGAAAGAAAGAAAATAGAAAACAGTTGGTCCATCTTTATCAAGAACTCTAAAGATGTACGTATTCCAGCTGGGCGGTGGTAGTACACACCTTTAATCCCAGCACTGAGAAGCCACAGGCAGGTGGATCTCTGTGAGTCTGAAGCCACTGTGGTCTGCAAAGAGGGTTCTAGGACAGTTAGAACTGTTACACAGAGAAACTCTGTATGGTAAAACAAAAAAGGGGGCATATTCCACCCCCTCAAATGCCCACACTCCCTAACTTTATAATAAAGAAGTTTTTAAAGATTTAGATCTAGAAGGAGAAACTCTAAATGTCCAAACATAACACTGTGCTTTCAGGACTATGATGGATTTAAATGCAAAAGTTAAGGTCGCATTCAGTGAGGAACCAGGAAACGCTGGTAGTAAGTGTCCAAGAGATAAAAGATAAATTTCAAAAGTTAAATAACCTCCTTACACTTTTCTTCTGAGGATGCAAAACTATCAGCACTGGTTCTGTCTCTTAGTTAGCATTGTGTTGCTGTGCTAAAACACTATAATAAAAAACAGCTTGGGGAGGAAAGGGTTTATTTCAGCTTACAGCTCCTCATCACTCTCTGTTGCTAAGGGAAGAAGGGGCAGGAACTCGAACAGGGCGGGAACCTGGAGGCAGGAGCTGGTGCAGAGACCATGGAGGGGTGCTGCTTACTGCTTTGCTCCTCATGTCTTACTCAGCCTGCTTTCTTATACCGTCCAAGACCACCTGGGTGACACCAGGGGTCGCACCACCCACAGGGGACTGGGCCCTGATGCATCAACCACTCATTAAGAAAATACCCCCACAGGCTTGCCTACAGGCCAATCTGGTGGGGCGTTTTCTCAATGAAGATTCCCCCCTCCCCATGATCACAGCTTATGTCAAATAGATATGAAATTAGCCAGCATAGTCTCCACTGTATCAAGACTATCTTTTCTTGCTTATCCCTCCTGGTTTAGGCATCAGGGAAGATCTTCTCTCCTGCAGCTCACTAATAGAAGGCCAGGTTTTTCATTTATTTGCTGACTGGGCTCTCATCAAAGCATGCCCTCGATGATTACAGAGAACGTTGTCATTTGATTGCATGCTGTGCCCCCAGGACCTAGAGCAGTGGCCCCATGCAGCAGGTGTTCCCTAACTGCTGCCAAAGGAACGACTGCAGGACTGTGTCCCCGTGGGAGATCATCTGAAAGGTGAAAGAAATTACATTGCCTTCTACGCATGATAAAAGTTACTACTTTACCAAAGGGCAGGGAGAAAGGCCAGAGGAAAATTCAATAAATGTGAACAATGATTGTGCTGGAATTAAGAGAATTAGAAAACCTCTCTCCTCGATTTCATTTGCAAAAATGTTTATAAGCATTGAAGGGCCATTAGAATATAGTGATGCTTCCAATACAAAGAGGCTGAAATTAGACCAGGACCTGGCTCCTCATGGTCACTTCCAGTTGCCTGACCCTGGGCCCCTCACCCAGGCTTCTGAGCTGAAGGCTGGGGCTGATCATAGCTACTCCGCTGTATCATACATCAAAGGAAATGATGTTCTTGAAAGAACTCGGTAAGTGGTGCTGGTTCAGGCAGATGTGCCCCAAGAGTATGTCCTCAGGATTAACATTTCCAGGCCCTGATCTCCCTCCCCACCTTGTTACTGTGGAGAGACCTGTGGGGCTACTCTGGGTTTGAAAAGGTCAACACCTTAGCTAAGGCTGTAACTTAGTAATAGAGTCCTTACCTAGAAGGTAAAAAGCTAGATTCCTTGGAGGGGAGGGGAAGGACAGGAGGGGAGAGAAAAGGAGGGAAATTCCACATCTAGGCACAAGGCTGGCATATGGCTGTGTGTCGTTCATAATTTGCCTCTTGTGACTAATTCTGACCTTTCTCCTCACCTCCCTTGACCCCACGGGTCTGTTCTCAGGGCACAGTGTGGGAACTTGGGCCCAGACTGATGAGTGATCTGGGGAGTTCAGAAGGCTGGCAGAGCCAGGATGTGTGTTGGTGATGTCTGATATGACTCAGCTGCCCTCTCCGCCGAGGGCAGAGGGACCCTGGACACCATGACGGCATCTCACTTGTGGGTTTTTTTCAGGCCTAAGTCCCTCACCCTCCTCACCTGACCCCCAGACTCAGCAGCTGCCACAAAGGATAACCAGATCAGGAAATGCTGGTAACTTCAGGGGAAGGAGAAATCGGAGGTGTGAAATTACCCTTCCTCCCCATTATCTTCAAAATCAAAAAGAACTTTCAAGTTTGTAATCACTCCACCTGAGACTTGTGTTTACAAAAAGTCACTTGATTTTGGCCCCATCAGCTAGTTGTGTCCATTCTAAGAACGAGGAGTCCAAGGGCCAGAGATGTGGAAGTCACCTGCTTACGATAACGGAAACCCTTTTATCTGTGGGGCGCACTGTGGAAAGCACTGCATGAGCTCACTCAGTCTATGGTCCCCATCAGCGAATCTGAGGCATTGAGGGCGGGAAAGCAAAGGAGCACAGGCAAGACCACAGGCCAGCGGATGGCCCAGCCATCACCTGCCTGCCTTTCCTGCCCCTGCCACTCCTCCCTGTGACACAGAGTCACCTTCTCCGTTTTGAACCTCACTCACAAGGACAAACGACTCCCTGACCTCTTCTCTCTCTCTTATAATAATGTCAGATTTTTCTGCTGGGCATGGTGCCTTTAATCCCAGCACTCATGAGGCAGAGACAGGCAGATCTCTGTAAGTTCCAGGCCAGGGCTACATAGTGAGACCTTTTCTTAGAGGGAGGTAGGGGTGTGTGTGTGTGTGTGTGTGTGTGTGTGTGTGTGTGTGTGTGTGTTAATATTTCCCTGCAGTAATTATTAAAGTAATAAAAGCTTCTTTGATTTTTGGCTTGTGTGGTTTTACTTTATTTCACTTTGCTCTGAAACAGAATGCTATAGTATATTGCCCAGGCTGATCTCAAGACCTTAAAGGCTCAACTGAGCTTTTATTAGTCTGCTAAGTGACTGGGATAGCAGGCATGAACCACCAAATCCATTTTTTAAAGGAAGCTATAGTAAGATAGAATAGTAGGAACTGTGGGAAAGGAGCAGATGCTGGGGAAGGCAGTAGAGGAAGGAGGGATGGGAGGAGAGCTAATCCAAACTAAGGATGTATGAAGAAATTTTATGAAACCCCACTTGTTGGTAAGCTAATTAAAAATAAAGTAAGCAAAGGGGAAACAGGAAATAGCAAGTGTGGGTGAGAATGCAGCTCCCAGGAGACATGGCTTATTAAGTGAAAATCCCAGTGACAGGCATGGGTTCTACCTTTTTTATTGCTCAGGGTGTCCCCAGAGGCAGCCCAACAGCACAGGTTATTGTGGTTGTTCTTGGTTGCCAATGATAACGAGATGGTATGACCTTGCTGCTGAAAACATCACAGTTTGGATGCAGAACATAAAGAAACTGATCTTGAATTGACCAGGAGTCTCTCGGGGTGGCTAGCTTTCACAGTGCAGGGCAGGCTATGTAGGTTGCTGGAGAAGAAAAAACACCAGAGGCCTTATTCAGTACTGGCTCCTGCATAGTTCAGTATCATCCTACCAGGCAAGATACGCCCACTGGCGCAATAGTGGCCGGACAGCTTATGGGGGCAACCAAATGCTCTCTTGATTAGATGTGAGGCCTGCTCTGAAGGAGAATTTGTTTTAGTCAAGGTTTTCTAGAGCAACAGAACTTAAAGAATGAATCTCTCTCTATATATAATAGAGAGAGATTAACATGTATATATATTTTATATATTGGTGCATGCATATGTATGCTTGCATGTGTATGCTTGCATGGGTGTGTGTGTACAAAGCAATGCTAGGGCTTGAATCACACTTTTTAGGCAAGTTCTCTGTCATCAAACTACAGTCTTGTCCCTGCTGCTATACGTTAATACGCATTACAGCCCAAGCTAGCCTTGAATTCATGATTCTTCTGCCTCTGCCTAAGTGCGGGGATTATAGTTGTGAGCCCCATGTTTGACCTGTTTGCTTTACTTATGTAAAATAAGCTGTTTTTATTGTGTTCTTAAAGTTATATTACATTATAATATAAAAGTAACCTTTTCAATTTAATTAACCTGCCCACACTTATTTTTTCTTCAGATAAGGAGTTTGTGTAGCCAAGGCTTTCCTAGAACTCATCATGTAGCTCAGGTTGGCCTTCAACTCAGATCCTCCTGACTCAGCATCCCTGGGATTGCAGGGATCTGCTACTATGCTTAGTTACTTTTTCAAGTTTCACTCATGTGATTTAACCCAATAATTCAGGATAAGTGTCCTTGTACAAAATTATTTATGCCCAGAAGCCAGGATTATTTATACCCAGAGGCAGGAGGAGTTCCAGGCCATGATGAGTTATGTAAGTAAGAATCTGTTTGAGGAGAGGGAGCCCATATTCAACCCTAGATAAATTCCTAGACCTGAAATTATTCATTTCTTTTTTTTCAAGAGTCTTTTTTACATAGTTCAGTCTCTAACGCAGAGTTCTCAGCCTCCCACATGCTTGTATCTTAGGAGTGTACCCCACACCTGACCCTTAAAGTAAACTTGCTCATTAGAGATTCTGCACAGCCTCAGATTGTGTGTGGGAGTAGGGGTTGTGGTTTGACCCAAGGAGATGTGATAGACAGAGGTGATGCATAGTAGCTTCCCTGGCTGTCTTCATGATGTGCACACTCCCCATCTCCCGTCTACATGTCTGCCCCAAACAAGTCTAAAACACAGGGCACACAGGGACCTCCTATTCTAGATCCGAGGATCATGAAGGCAAAGTCTAGTGTCATAAGATTTTGCTCTTATTACCATGCTGGCATGAATATCTTTCCCCTCCAGTTAGGGACTTGCTTGGAACATTTGTGTCAAAAGGGAACAGACACCTGCTGCCCACCCCTTGCCTGGGCTCGTCCCCTTAGTCACTGTATCACCCACAAGACAGCACTCTCAGCAGCAGGGACCATGGACTGGCGGAAACACATCACAAAGGCACGCTGACAAACGACACAGTGCGCTAAAGAAGGCAGGGGTGACGTTCACAACTTCTGCTGCCACTGCCTGGGTGCAAGCCCCAGCTCCACATCTCAGTCTTTGTGACTTTGGCTACGTTAGCCACTCTCTTCCGTGTCACAATCCCCACCTGTAAATCGGGGCTAATCCGACTATCTTAAAGGGTGGGTGACGGGTTAACTGTGTTGCTATGTGGAGAGGTCAGGATTAGCCTGCACATAGGAAGCATTGTATGTGGTGTAATTACCAGGAGTAAACAACAGGATATTTGCTAAGTGGCACTGAATGCTGCTGTGGTTCTGTACAGTGCCTCTCAAATTCACTGAGTGAATGAAACTCTTATTTTGTAATTCCATGTTCCAGTAAGCAAGGCCATGGGGCTCCCGCAGCGACACAGACTCCCAATTCTACAAAACAACGGTTGGTAATTTAAATCTCTACCCCATTCACAAAAAGATAGAAAATGTGGAGTTAGGGCTATAAATGAGGAAAATAAAAGCCTGCTGGCCCTTAGCTTGGGGTAAAAAATAAATAAATTCCCACTGAAGCTAAAACTTACATGATGAATCTGTACTGCGACTTTGTGTTTCCTGGGTTTTTAGAATATGACTGGTCAGTGTGTCCCTGGGTAGAAGCCTGGGAGTAGGCCAAGGACACTTTATCTCCCTGGGCTCAAAATTTCCTTCCAGGGGCTAGAGAGATCACTCAGCTGTTAGGAGCATTCCCACTGTACAGGCCCAGAAAGACAAATATAATATGTATTCACTCATAAGTGGCTTTTAGACATAAAGAATAACCAGCTTACAGTCCACAACCCGAGAACCTAGATAGCAAAGAGAACCCTAAGAGAGACATACATGGATTCGCCTAGGAAGGAGAAAAGGACAAGATCTCCTGAGTAAATTGGGAGCGTTGGGGGCAGAGGGGAGTGAAAGGGGAGAGGGGAGGAAACAAGGGGAGTAGGGAAAAATGTAGAGCTCAACTAGAAACAATAAATTATATATATATGTGTGTGTTTGTGTGTGTGTGTGTGTGTGCGCACGCGCGCAGGTGTGCATGTGCATACATACACAGATAGATAGATAGATAGATGGATGGATGGATGGATGGATGGACAGACAGACGGACGGACGGACGGACAGATAGATAGACAGGCAGGCAGACAGACAGACAGATAGAGTGTGCTCGTGCTCTTGCAGAGGACCTGGGTTCAATTCCCAGCATCCACATGGCAGCTCACAACCATCTGTAACTCTAGTGCCAGGGGAGCTGATGTCCTCTTCTGGCCCCCACAGGTACAAGGCACCTAAATATCCATACATGTAAGCTAAAATGAAACTTATATTTTAAAAGATTACCTTCCAGAGCTCAGAAAGAACCCCAAGATGAGAGGTCCTTCCCCACAGCAACACCGCCATTAAAGTGCCACACAACCTCAGTGTCTGCCGCCTTCCGTCCCAGCACTGCTACAGGCCAAAGGTCAGGAGACTTCTTGGCTCCCAACCCTCAAAGATTGCAAACCCACCCGTGCTTCTTCTCCGGACACTTATTTAGCTCATTGCTCCTCTGAAATATTTTTTTTAATTAAAAAAAAAGCATCAATAAAAATTACAGGGACAACGGAACAAACTGACAATTACTAAATTTAGTGCTAGGGATGTAGGTGAGCTTGGCACCGTGCTTGTCTGGTATGCACAAAGCCCTGTCTGAGTCCCAGTACCACAAAGACCAGGCATGATTCCAGGCTCACTCCTGGAATACGAGCACTTGGGAGGCAGAGGCAGGAAGAGCAGAAGTTCAAGGTCGTCCTCCTCCGCACAGCAAGTTCAAGGCCAACCTGAGCTACAAAAGACCTTGTCTCTCTCAATGAAAGATTTTTTTTTTTTAGCGGGGTGGTGGTGGTGCACACCTTTAATCCCAGCACTCAGGAGGCAGAGGCAGATGGATCTCTGTGGGTCCGAGGCCAGCCTGGTCTACAGAGTGAGTTCCAAGACAGACAGAATTGTTATACAGAGAAACCCTGTCTTGAAAAACCATATATAATTTTTTCTTTTTTTTCTAAGTCTACAGAAAAGTTTACAGTAGTAAACTTTTAAAAGTTTGCAGTAGTTTACAGTAGGTAAAGGGGAATCCATAAGCCAGACTGATGTCTCCCCACTGTGCCCCATCCCTCCACCAGCAGCTTCCCACTAGAACTCCAGTACCTGTGGCTGCAAGCACAGAGGCACAATGCTTTGACCTAAGTGAACTCAGACAGAGGATGGGCACCAGCTGGGGTCAGAGCTCAGAGGTGGAGGCAGGAGGAAGCCACACATGGCCCACTTCCACTAAGTACACAGCTATCATCCGACCTCAGTGAACACCCTCCTTCCTCTTTTCTGATCGTGCTTAAGATATTTCAAGAGCAGTCAAGGATATGAGGTATTAAGTTTTCTCTGATGGACGCAGCCACAGCTCCGGTTCAGCCCCGACACTGGAGGAGTCTGGCCCTTTGAAGCAGCTAGTCACTAAGTCACAGGAAGTGGAGAATGGTCACTGGCAAACAGGTCTGGATCTTCAAAAATATAACCACACAGGAATCTAAATAGTGTTATCCTGAGGGTTAGGAGTGAGTAAGGAAGAAGAATACGGGGTATTTTTTAGACTGAAAATGTAAGAAAACATCCCTTTGAAAATCACTGCCACGAATTGGATGTTTCTATGGGCAAAGGATAATAGCAAACAGAGTTTCATCCGCATGGGTTCACTGCCACGCCATGAGGGTGGGGTGAGGGTCCCAATACACAGAAAGAGACCAAGGAACTTGACATGTTCCTTGTAGTCTTCTACAAGCTAGGCAGGTGCTCCACCGCTGGGCTACACACCCAGCTCCAAACACACATTTCTATTCCACCTCCTAAACTACCTACCTGAGCCACTTAACATCAGAAAAAGCTAGAAGCCTTTTATCTCAGCACTCTGGAGACAGAGGCAGGTGGATCTCTGTGAGTTCGAGGCCAGCCTCGTCTACAAGAGCTAGTTCCAGGACAGGCTCCAAAGCTACAGAGAAACCCGTCTCCAAAATCCAAAAGTAAATAAATAAATCAAATTTTAAAAGGTCAGAAGGTGACAGCCCTAACCGTCTCAGGCACTACCTTAGGAGGCATTTGTCATCTCAGATCTTTTGAATTTAATTGTTCTTAGTGATGCTAAATAAGAAAACTATTAGAAAGGTTATTGTCCGGGCTGAGCCCCACACTGGGGCCAGCAGACCAGACCAATAGAGTCACTCATTATAAAGTTCAGCAGCCTGGCATCAAATTGCTCAGGAGGAAGAGACAAGCACTAAATTCTCAAACTGGAAGCATTTGATTGGCAAGATAAGCAAGTTTCAGAGAGTTGCCCCTTAGGGAAGTCACCAGAGTGACCTGAAGGCAGCCAGTCACTCTCTCTGCCCCTTTCATGAGTCATACATAAAAATCCTCCAGGGCCTAAGCTAAGTGTGCTGTATTCCATTTCTTGAAAGCAACAGAGCCAGCCCCTGGTGAGCGTAAGGACCCACTGGGCCCCTGGTGAGCATAAGGGCCCACTCAAGCACACACACCACACCTCACAGGGCCAGTCCTGACAGTCCCTAAGTTCCTGGGCTTGTCCCCTGGCCTGGAGATGAACTCTTATCTCACCCCACTGCCAGGGAGAAACAGACAGGACTGGACCAATAGGTCTCTAGACCCCACTGCAGCTGACTTCCAGCAAGGCTCTCCCGAGGAACCAGGAAGACCTTTCCAGGGGGGCCCGTGGAAGGTTTGGAGCAGAACATCTTTGAGGTCCGGGTGGCCTGTCTTGGATGCAGCCCCCGCAGCCCTGGATGAACATTTATCTTTCCACTGCTGTACTTAATTGTATCTTTAAAAAAAGAAAAACAAACAATAGCAACAAAAATAAACCAGAAAACCAATCCACAAGTCACTCTTACCTTAAAGTTTCAAGTCGTCTTTAGGCCTCCAGAAATAAGATGGTAGACATCACAGGACTTGGTGGCAGGTGGTCCCCAAGGGGATGGAAGTTAGGTGGGAGCTTGGGCTCACAGCAAGAGAAGGAACAAGTTTTGCCATCCTGAGAGGAGTGATCCAAGTCCCTGTTAGTGTGGACACAGAATGTGAGGACGTGCCCCGGGCTGAGGGAGATCAGCCCTCTCCCCATCACTTCTGTCCTGGGACTGTTTTAGACACAGAAGATCACTGATCCAGGACGTCTGTGACCAGGACAGTTGTGACAACTACCACCCTCTAATGCTCTCGCCTGGGAGAATGGGCTTAAGTAGGGACAGAAGGAAGCAGGTCAGCGATCAGTGATTCACAGGGAACCACAAAGGCACCTGCCCATGGTCTCTCAATTCCACAGAGACTCAGAGAGCCAGGACAGAAGGGCTGGAGAGGAAGGGAAAGACGGAAACAGAAAAGGCAGAGAACATTAAAGAGAGGGAAGATGGTGGGAGCCCTGGGGAGAACTCAGAAAAATCTAGAAACTAGACTAGAACTGATGGTATGTCCTGGGGGTGTGGCCTGTCTCAGGCAAGTCTAGGTTATGACTCCAGGGCTTGGCCTGTCCTATCTTCAGCATACTTCAGTGTCCTGGGTCCACTTTTGGGTCTCTTCCCTTTGGCAGCCAAGGGAATCTCCTCACCTGTCCTCCTAAGTCAGTCCAGCCTGGACATCAAGAGTTCTAGCCATAGCTGCAGAACTATAGTGCCTACTGGCACTGCCCCAGTTTGCAGGAAGCGGTCAGGAGAGGAAGCAGGTCTTGGCCCAGTCGTTCTGGGGTTTCCAGAGAGCTGCTTGCCAAGACATTGATAGGACAGTGTCTGGGTGGCTAACCGTGGTCTCTCATTCCCTCAACTGTTTCTGAGACTATGTGGGTGAGCTCTCTCCTCTGCCAGGCCTGAGGTTGGAAGGACAAAGGCAGAGAAGCGTCTAAAATTCAGAGCAGGAAGCGCCTGGGGACCGTCCCTCTGAAGGAGGCTGAAGGGGTACAGACAGCATGCCCAGCTTCCAGGTAGCTTTCACAGGGCCGGGGGATCTTGCTCTGCCTCTGCCTCTTCCTCGTGGGGCAAGAAGTCAGTTTCTGATCTCCTTCTAGAAAGCCCACCAGCTAGAAGAAGGCCTTTGCCTCTTCAGCCAGTGCAGAAAAAAGAGAAAATAGACGGAGGTTAGCTGAAACTCTCCCGATCTACAGCTTCCATCCACCTCCAACTGATCAGAACTTGGGTTTCTGGGCCAGAATTTCTGTCTCGCCAGCCCTGGCTTTTGCGCATGCTCAGTTCCAGCATGCTAGGCTTTGGGGGTGGGGGTGGGGCTCTGCTGTGAGACAGAACAGCAGCACAGCCTAAGGATTTATATTTATTCAACTGCTTGAAGTTTTTTGTTTGTTTGATTTTTGAGGCAGGATTTCTCTGTGTCCTGGAACTCGCTCTGTAGACCAGGCTGGCCTCGAATTCAGAGATTCACCTGCCCCTGCCTCCAAAGCTCTGGCTGGGATTAATGGAATGCGCCACCACCCAGCCACTGCTTGAGTTTTTAGAAAAATGATTAAATATGTCCCATCATTTTTTTTTCACAAAAAGTTGTATTTCCAGATTTTATTTTTAAAACGGATGCACTCGGGGTTGGAGAGATGGCTCAGAGGTTAAGAGCACTGCCTGCTCTTCCAGAGGTCCTGAGTTCAATTCCCAGCAATCACATGGTGGCTCACAACCAAATATAATGAGATCTGGTGCCCTCTTCTGGCCTGCAGACATACATGCGGCAGAACACTGTATACATAATGAATGAATAAATAAGTATTTAAAAATAAATAAATAAATAAATAAATGGATGCACTTTCTTGTGATAACAGTTGTGGTGAGGGCCCTTTAAGACAACCTGTATTTTCTAGTTTGTCCTATTGTGCCCCCATCTTCTTTCAGGCTCACCTCATCTCCTTCCCCCAATTCAAACCAAAACTAAGGATGAGTTGCAGGAGTTGCAGGACCGTAAACAAAATGCTACGATGTTTGAGGACCAGAATTCTTACACCTGATGTATTTTATTCCTTAACTTTTCAGTCCCTTCAGCACCTAAAGTTTTTCAACAAGCGCAGGGCTGTGGCCACACAGGCTCTGTCTTCACATTCTAAGCCAACTTAGTTGAGTGCTTCTGAGTCTTGGTTTCCCCATCTGTCAAATGCGCATAACAATAGCCCAACAAACAGCCACCTACAAACCCAGGCTTACAACACAGACCACTGTGAGAAGTAACCTCAACTGTCAAGCTGATGAGGTTAAGGCTCACCATAGAAACAAACATTTGCCCTCATAGCGTCTGTATTAGGTTAACTGAGGTAGGAAGTCTCCTCCTAAGTGTGGATCACAGCATCCTGTGGTATGGGGGCCTGAACTGCAGAAGAGTGGGAAAAGCTAGCTGACACCAGCTAGTGTCTGCTTCATCACTGTGGAAGCACTGCAAATAGCTTTGGTCCTACCACTACAATAGACTCTATTGCCTTAGACTGTGAGCCCAAATAGACTCTTCTTTCCATAAGCTGCATCTGCCAGGTTTTTTTGTCCCCGTATTGAGAAGAGAACTAACATATCTTAGACCATTTTTGGCTGCTATACCTAAATATGTGAGACTGGGTAATTATATATATTTTTAAAAGCCCTCCAACCCCCCCCCAAAAAAAAACAAAGCAAAAACAACAACAACAACAACTGAGTTTTGCTGGCTGTGGTAACACATAACTTTAATCCCCCGGGAGGCAGAGGCAGACAGATCTCCGTAAACTGGAAGGCAGACTGTCTACATAGCAAGTTCTATGCCAGCCAGGACTGTATCGTGAGATCATGTACAAAATAAAAAATCAACAAACAAACAAACAAACAAAAACCACCTTAAAATCCAGGACTAATTCTGGAGGCTCAGAAGTCCAAGAGCACAGTGGTGTAGTCTGGCAAGGGCTCTTCCTTTTGGCACAGCATGACACAGGCCGTGAGATAGAGCAGGCAGGCTATCTAGGGGCTCTCCAGGCTCCAAAGTCAGCATTTACCACACCTAGGGCCCCGCCTTCATGATCTAATCCTGACCTAATGATCTAAGCCGGGTTATTATTTAAGACTCCAGCTTCAAAGTCATCAATTTACGAATGGGGATATTAGCTTTGCAGCACTTGAACTTTGGGGAGCCTTATTCATACTACTGCACATGCTAATTGCTTTGATTTTGACATAGGCAGCAAAAAACAAACAACGACAACACCAACCCCCCCCCCCCCAAAAAAATCTTTTCTTAAGTAGAAACTAAAGGCTTCGGGAAGGTTGGCATTTTAGGGAACCCTCATTTTCACTGCTCTAGGATCAGTGCTTCCTAGATCCTAGAAGCTGTAGGATCCTGCTTCCTAGACACATGGGGTATAGAATCTATCAAAGCAGGAAATCTGGGCCCAAGGCTCCAGCTCCTGTCCTGGCTGAGGTTCTGTCATTTCCCAAGGCTACACCTTGGTGTGCCCAGGACACACAGTAGTTTCCTTCCCATTCTCAGTCTGTCTTGTCACTTTCTTGACCCACAAAGACTCCTGCCCCTCTCTGCACTGGCATTTGCTAAGTGAGCCTAGGGTTGGAACATTCGGGAAGATTCTACTTCTCATCCAGAGAAAGGGTTTCAGTGAGCACGTGGTGGGGCTAGGGCTGGGGTTATAGATCTGTGTTTTACAAATTTCCCTATTCTGTTGGTAGCTGAGTATTGGTCACTTGTCTTGTCCCTTGACAAAGGCTACTTTAGGAAGGGTCTGTTGGCTCATGGTTTGAGGACACTGTCTGTCACGTGAGAAGACACAGTGGCAGGAGTGTGAAGCAGCTGACCACAGTGCATCCACAGTAAAGAAGCGCAGAAATATAGATGTTCGCTTTTTTTAAATATTCATTTATTTATTATGTTTACAACATTCTGTCTGTGTGTATGCCTGAAGGCCAGAAGAGGGGACCAGACCCCATTACAGATGGTTGTGAGCCACCATGTGGTTGCGGGAATTGAACTCAGGACCTTTGGTAGAGCAGGCAATGCTCTTAACCTCCGAGCCATCTCTCCAGGCCCCATTTTTTAAAAAATATTTATTTATTTATTATGTATACAACATTCTGTCTGAGTGTAGGGTGTTCGCTTTTCTCATTTTAAGTTCAGCCTAAGACCACCAGATCACAGAATACTGCCACCCATTTACCCATATTTAGGGTATGTCTTCCTAATCTAGAAACTCCCTTACAGATATCCCCAAAGGTTTTTCTCATGGCGGATTCTAGATCCTGTCACTTGATAGATTTGTTAACTATCACAAATTTACCCCTTGTCAACTTGACATAGACATATCATCTTAAAACCATAACGTTCTTCTCCTATGGGGATAAGTCCAGGGCCACATCATAATGAAAAGTGTGTTTAGTCTAATTTCAAAAGTCTTCATAGTCTTTAGCAGTTTCAACACGGTTTAATAGTCCAAGTCTTTTCTGAGATTCTAGGAAATAAATTATATACTTCCAATACACAATTGTATGGAGTAAATATTCACCCGGGAGGAATGGGGGTATAGGAAGGAATGATGGAACCGAACCCCAGCAGGGAAAATATCAAGTCCTGTAGCAACAAGTCTGGCATCTGGGGTTTCTGAGAGAATCTTAGGTAGCTCTGCTTTTCCGTTTCTTCTGCCTATAGCACACACACTTTCTTGAGTTTGCTCTACTTGTTAGCAGACTTCCTGTGGTCTTAGCATCTCCAACATCCTAGGGACTCCACTGTACATAACCTAGGCTTCACTTTCACGGCTGCATGCAAGGATGTCTGGAGCCCTCCTTGCAGGACTCTGACCCCTCTACACACTGGCTGGCCTGCCTGGATTTTAGGGACCTCATGCAAACCTCCAAGAACTTCCTCCCTCGTTCTTGCATCTTTCATGCCTGTTAATTCAATATTTTATAAAGCTGCCAAGTTCTGCTGCCAGCGTGAGAAGCCGCCCAGTCCCCTCTTAAAAATACAACAAACAAAAGCAAAACAAAACAAAAAACATTGACCTTTATGCGTGACACTTTCCTAGGCAAACTGCTTGGAGAAAGAAAACCCTTAGGTGGTATTCTCGGGACAAGTGTTCTCTCTTTTGTACATTTTCACAAGTTAGGGCCTTCAGTGGGTCGGGTCTTCCCCTTAGAAAACCGTTCCTATTATCCCAACATGGTGGAGGAAGTTATTTTGCTGTTTATTTTTTGAAATAGGGTCTTGTTTTGCACCCCTGGCTGGCCGTGGGACTCACAAAGATCCACCTGCCTCTGCCTAGGGAGTGCTGAGATTAAAGGTGCGCAGTACCGCACTTGGTAGATGTGTTTTTAATGGTGCTGATCCCTTTAGCAATTGCTGCTGCTTTCTCACGCTCCTTGTTAACGACTTTAAACTTGTGCACAAGTTTGGTTTAGTGTGTGTGTGTGTGTGTGTGTGTGTGTGCGCAACTTTTACATTTTTCTTCTTTCTGCTCTTCCTCGCTGTAGATCTGAACAAGAGCAGGGAGCAGCCTGAATAGGAACAGGCCACAGCCCGAATGCATGATCTTGTCTTGACAATTCTCCCATCAAGCTAATTAGCTTGTTACTTCTCGATTTGGCCTCATTCAAGTTCGCAAGGCACGGGCAGAAGAAGCCAGATTCTTTGCCAGACTATAACTCCAATGGCCTGGAGCCTTATCCCTGATAGAGTCCTTGCTCCTCTAGGAAGCCTCGTGAGTTGGGCCCCCAATGTTCAGGTCTTTCACCATTCTGGCCTTCTAAGCTCTCACCAGTATGGTCCATTCAACTCTATTTACAACATTCTCCTCCTCCTCATTCTGGAGTTCACAGCTGCAAACTCTTCCACATTCCACCAAAAACCAGTTCTAAAAGCCTACACGTCACATGGTCTGGCTGATCACAGCAATGGCCCCCATTTCTTGGTCCCAGTTTTCTGTATCTGTTATTTTTCTAGCTCTTGTGACAGCATCCCTAACAAAGCAAGAAGGAAGCATTTATTTTGGCTAAGAGTTTGAGGGTAACAGTCCCTTCTCATGAGGAAGATGGGACAGCAGAAAGCAACTAGTATTGGTACTCACCTACCTCTCCCTCTTTTGTTTGAATACACCTACATTTAATGTATAGCTTTCTACCTCAGTTAACCCAGTCTAGAAATCCCCTGTTGAGTCTAGATCTTGTCAAGCTGGCAATCAGTATTAACAAGCATGAATAATAATGGTACCTCCAAAGTCCAGCTCTAAGAGTTCCCAACATTTCTTCTCTTGGGTCTTTTCCCATTTTATACAATTTTCTCAGACCATCTTGGTAAGGGTTCCCAAATCATTTTCTCCAACTTCTCTTGAACTTTAGAGCTCTAGGCAGACAGGATAGACAGGGCAGTATCATTACTATTCTAACGTAAATGCAGCTTAAATGGAGCTTTCAAGGCAGGAGCCTGGGAATTCCTAGCCCTCTTTCCTTCTCATTGCCCACTGAAGTCAGTTACCAACCTAGGCTGGGTCCATGGCCTGCATAGCTCTTGACTCATCCACCCCTACCCTCACTGCCACAACCTAGGCTTAGATCCTAGCTCTCTGTAGAGGAGCTATGTGACAAACTTTGCCTGGGAAGATGAAACACACATCTATTGGTCCCAGATAGGGAACCCATGGCAGACCAAAGTAAGGACACCACCAACATCCAACTTGGTGCAACAATGAGCTTTATTGGGATTACTTATGGGAGTATAGGCCAGGGGTTACTTAAAGGAGAAATGTCTCAAAGGCAGCTGCATCACCAAAGTCCACCCCAGCAGGGAACCTAACACATACTGAACATCCTGCAGGTCACTCAACAGGCTGGAGAGCGTCCTTTCTAGGTGCCTCAGTTGATCTAAACCTCCTCCATCAGCTTAGCTGGTTTCTGATTCTTCCAGGCTCCTGGTCTGGTCCCCGAGTCTTCTTTGCAGCTTTGCTTGTCTGAGAAGGCTCTTTGCAGCTTGGCTTCCTTCAGTCTGAGAGGGACTCTCAGCTTTTATTGCTTACTCTGGTGTGGAGGGGCCTAGGGAATCTAGTTAGTTTCGGGGACTTCCTGGAGCTATTTTGATTTGTTTACCTTTCTACTTCCCTGCAGAACTGAATGTTTCAGAGTGACATCACTGCCTTCCCAGATTTCCTTATTGCCAGGCTCTCTGCTCTGCAGGCTTACCCAAAGTCACCTGATTATGGTGCTGCCTTGTTCACATGACCTCCAAGATCTGTGGCCTTCGGGAAAGCGAAGATTTTTATCGTCTTGGTTAGTGTACAGAACACAGGATAAGGGGTCAAACATTATTTGGGGTTGTTGTGATGAGAGGTTGAAAGGGTTTTTTTTTTGTTTTTTTTTTTCCTTTGATGAGATTAATATTTTCTTTGATGAGTCCATTTAAATCAGTGGACTGTGAATAGAGCAGATTTCCCCCATGGGTAGGTGGGGCTCACTCAATGGGTTTGTGTCATGCCCTGTGGATTCTGCACTTGTCAGAGTTCATATTCGTATGGCTTCCCCACTCCCCACCCCTTCTGGGCTATCCTGACTCGTAGTTACTCTTCAATTCCTTCAGTCAGCTTAGCTCATATACTCATTAGAAAAAAGGCATCTACGCGTTAAGAAAAAGCGCAAGTTCCAAATGAACATAGATCTGATTACAGATAATATCGACTGGAGCTTGGGTGAGTTTTTTTAGACAACCACACAGAACTGCTCTGCCCCAGGACGGGTCCCTGCCTGTCGCAGCCTCATCCCTCTTCCCCATCCGCTATCCTAAATTCTTCAAATTTATGCTGTAGACTCAACAACCCTCTAGTGATGAAGTCTGAACTTAGCTTGGCCCTGGCAAAGGGTTTCACAAGTGTAAACAGAATCAACGAAAAGAGGGAAAGAGCAAGTCTAAGTGAATGAATGGATGGTTTCGCGGGATCGTAGCAAGCAGCAGGAGGCGCTGCCCAGGAGTGTGTGCCTTGCCTCTCCGCAGCCCGCGCGTTCTGCCCGCCACCCCTAAAGGGACTCGGCTGGGGCCGCAAGAGGGGAGGCGACCCCAGTTCGATCGCGCCGCAGTCCGGGCCGCGAGAAGGAATCGGCAAGGAGGGGGAGGGGCTGCTGTCTCCTTTCATTCTTCCACGCTGGGGTCTCCGGAATGAAAACTGCCCCCAGCCGGGCCAGAGCGAGGGGATGAAAGGCGGCCCTAAGACCTCTAGTCGAGCCTCGTCCCGCCCGGATTTCGGAAACCGGCCTAGCCGGGGGGTGTCCGGTCATGTGGCCGCCCGAATGCAGGAGGTAGGGGGCAGCGTCACCCCTTGCGCTGTTGCTCCCGCAGGATGCAAACCCGGGCTGGCACTGTACCATCTCAACGTGACGCCCCGCCCCGTCTCTTGGATCAGAATCTCAAATCCCTTCTAGCATCTTCCCCTCTCTCCGCTGGGCCTTTGGTATGCCCCAGGGGACAGATGTCTTGGGATCTTTAACATTTGGGATGCTGCAAATGCCGAAGTTAAATGAAATACCTCCGGGGAGGGGAGGCCCGGGGGAGCCTTGGGGAGAGGGAAGATGGGCGGGACCAACAGGTCCTGAAGCTGTGCGGAGGGCGCGGGGGGCGCGGGGGCAGGCGCGGGGAGCCAGAACTCGGTGGGACAGGTAAGACGGAAACTTAGTGAACCTGACGCGGGAGAACTGGGGGAGATCGAGTCCCTGAACCCCGATCTTCATGCTCAGCAGAGGGGGTCTTGCAGGGAACGGGGGTAATTTTACCAAGAGGTCGAGAATTCCCACCCCAAAGCCGTTTCCAACGGCTCAACCTTTCTCCTTCGACCCTCTCCCCAGCCCGGTGGATCTCCTGGCCAGGTTCCGGCAAGCCAGAAGGCAGGCAAACAAAAGGAGCCCAAGTTCCAGGCCGGCCTGGAAGGGGAGGGCGCGGTGGGGGAGGGGCTGGGGGGGCAGGACAAAGGGGCTTTTTACGGAGAGCCTAGAGGTTTGATTTCAGGGTGCATCCCCGGCTAGCCCAAGTTCCTTTCCCTGGCTTAGTTGGGGCGAACACCTTTCCCAGTGGCCAGATAGAAGAATGGAGAAAGAAAACAGTAACGGGGGTTGGTCTTCCATCCCTCTTGCCCTGAGAGTCCCAGACAATTTCCCATCTTTTCCCAGTTGTGAGCTCCTGTGGCTGGCCATTGATTTGTTAATTCATTAAGTAAAGTTATTGGGACTGCTGGTGCCTGTACTTTGCTGGGCACCTTTCGGGATGTGGAGGTGCTGAGGATGGAGGACGGGCTTTTAAAAACTTTGACTCCTAGCGATCACAGAAATCTAAAGAAGGAACTTCGGGGCTGCGAGGGGGGCATATGGTTGGTTACAGGTTTGTGGAAGAGTTTGTTCACGAAAGGTTTTGAAGAGGAGGCTTTCCCGCGAAGGGTTGTCTTCCACGGAGGTCGCACTCCAGGGCTGTGCAAGGGGCCCTCGCTTCCTCGCCTGTCGGTGGGCTTCCTTGTTGTCAGTGCCCTGGAACTAGCGATCAGAAGCGTCAGCTTCCTGGTTCCTAGAGTCGGGCTCCGAGTTCCAAGTTCTAAGCTACCTCCGGAGTGCCCACCTATCCTTGGTGTGGCCCCCTCCTAACCCCCTCCTTGGCAGGAGGGCTATTGGCTTGTCAGCTGCACTCCAAACCTTATATTCTGTTGGGCTGGGGAATGCTGAGAGTGGATTTGGAGTATTTAAAAATTGAAGATCAACGCAAGCAGGTTGGTCTGAGGTTCATGGCTGAGCAGGGGCCTACTACCCATCTTCAACAGAAGTCTGCACTGCAACCCTGGGTTTCTGCAATAAAAGAAAAAGGAAAATGCTCCGTTGCACAGCTGACCTGCAAAGGAGGCTGGGAGCAATGAGTGAAGTTCTTCCTACCTGATTAGTGGGTGCTGAAGAGGGAGGAAGCTGATGGTTGGTTTCGGGGCTTGCCTCTTTGCAGGTTGCATATTTCTTTGGTAGGGGAGACAGGTTCTGCGTGAGGGGGGTTGAGTTTATGATGCCGCTGGCCTGGCTTCTTCTGCTCAAGTCCATTCTTGAAAAGCAGGTTTCAAGCAGCAGGAATCACTGGTGAAGCCTGGAGGCTTTTCCTGGAAGACAACTTAAGGAATTTATGTCCCGGTGTGCACAGGCCTTAGCCCGATTTTGAATTTTGTCCTTGGATTCAGATGGCATTACTTGAGGCCGTAGTTCTTAACTGGGTCCAAACCTGACACCTCAGGCTGCAGGGGCAGCATCAGTAACCATGGCTTTCCATGCTGAGGTCGGTTTCCTCGTGCACTGAAGTTATATGTAAATAGCTTCATTCATCGATTGCTTGAAATGACCCGTTGCTGGGTCCTGTTTAATGTTAATAATGAAGTATACATGTTGTTACGTTTTTGTGGTTTCGGAATTGCACTTCAGTATAATTGGGCTTCATAATTGGTCTCTTTATTGTAAACATTAAAAAAAAAACTGAGCAGAGTTGATTCTAGAAACTCCACCACTGACCCCAGTTGGAGCTGGGGGGATGGGCCAAGACAGCTCAAGCCCAGAGTCAACCCCTCGCAGACACTGGACAAGCATGTAAACCTGTTGGGGGATGGGAAGGGACTGCAGTACTGTGGAGGACTAGGGGGGTGGGAGGTTCAGAGAGCATGCTCCCCACGGTGGGGAGGGTCTGTCCCCTGTGAGGGCCCCTTGGCCTCTGCTTGGGGAGCGGAGGAGGTGGTCAGCCTGTTGGAGTCCAGGGCTAGCGTTGTTTGGAAAGAGGGTGTGTAGAGGAATGTGAAGGTATGAGAGGGGGTTGTGTCTAGAAGGAATGGGGTTGTAGAGAAGGGTGGCGGCAGACTGTGACACAGCTCTGTGCAGGAGATGCTTAACAGCCAGCTTCTCTGATGTTTGGGCGCTAGGGCATGGAGAGTGAGGACCGGGGTACCTTAGGGGCTAGAAGAAGGAAGCAATGTAGATCCGTATTGAGCACCTAGGTGGCAGAGGTGGAGGATGGAAGGTATGGGACAAAGGCTCGAGCGATGCAGTCGGTCTGCAGTGTATCTCTAGCCTCTGGGAAGAGGCCGCTGTCAGCCTCAGGTCTTGTATACTAAGAAAGTTTTCATTTGCTTGAGGGTCAGTGGACTGAGAGGCCTGGAAGCCAACTTTTGGCAGGGACCAAGTTCCAGGGTAGTGACTGGTTCCCCGTTTGGAGAGCAGGCTAAAGATTGCTGCTCTCCTGTGGAGTGAGCGATGGCTACACTGTTGATCAGTGCCCCACAGAGGATTGCTGGGCTGGGTGTCGGTTATAAGTGGGATGTGATGCTCTTCATGTTGCTGGAATAAAAAGAAAACAGCGTGGTCCCCCATCTCTAGCACCCTAGAGTCTGCAGGAGCAATCCTGTCCGGTTTTTGTTGTCCATTTGCTTTTGTTTCTTTCTCAGGTGCTGGGTTTTAAACTTGTACTCTACCAGTGCCGTCCATACATTCGCAGCTGTCTCTTGCTCCTCCTCCTCTTCCTCTTTCCCCTCTTTTTAAAAATGTAGTACCTTGCTCTATTTGGTCCTCAGTCTATGGTCTATGGACTCATGCAATCCTCCTGCCTCGGATCACAAGTAGCTGGAACTGCAAGTTGCTACAGGTGCCTGACACAATCCCCAACTCAGCCCGAGGCTTGAGGCTTTTAAATCCTAATCTGGGAAAACTGAGGCTGTGGCTTTCGCCTGTGTTAGGGAAAGCAGTGCCCTCTGTGTCTGTAGATTTTCTGATGATGCTCTCTGCATACAGGGAATTTTTTTACTTGTTTTTTTTTGGGGGGGGGTTAACATTCTTCAATTTCTAGGAAGAAAAAGTGGGGTACAAGGGAGGCCAGAACCATGCAGGACAGGCACTGAAGTATTTCATAGCTCAGTACACTGTATTCGGGTTCTTTGTGGCTATGGAAACCTGATTCTGCTGCCTTCTGGTTGCCTTTCATGGGGAACCCCTTTTTCCCTGCTCCCCTCGGCCCGGAAGTGCAGAGGCCTAGGTGCTGCCTGCCGGCGACTGCCAGCAGCCGGATTAGTTCAGGGAAGGACTTGCTCACCTGCTCCTCCCCTCTGACTCAAGTCCTAACAAGTAACCTGGTTCCCCTGGCCCGGCAGCCTGGGAGGGACAGCAGGCAGGCGGGACCTGATGAGAGGGAGAGTCAGGGCCATCAGCGTGTGGAGAGCTTGCTGGAAGTGGGAGTACCAGGTGGCCTGCTTGTGACCTGGGAGACCCTGAGGTGGCACAAGGGGCACCTCAAACCCCTGCTCAGAAGTCTTTCCTGATCTGAATTGAGCTCTGGAGCAGGTGAGAGTGGGGCCGGGGCAGGGGTGAGGCCAGTCTCTGGGTTTGAGCTGTAGGCAGACCAGGAAATAGAGGGAGCCCTGGTCAGACATGGCTATCATTCCCCTACACCTAAGGTCATATTTAGGTTCAGGAGAAAAAGATGTTTGCTAGTGGGTTTGGGAACAGGGACTCTGTCTCTGTGAGCAGGCCTAAATTTCCAACAAAGATGAGCTGGGACAGAGGGGATCTGGCTTTGGGGACACATTTGTGATGTGGAGGGTCCCCAGTGGCTTCCCTGAGAGAAAGTAAGTAGGAGCTTCGCTCTCCTTCTAAGACAATCTTTCTCCCTCTGGCTTTGTCTGGGGTGGCAGGCGCATTGCTCTGGGCTGGCTGGGAGGGTCAGTGGGGCAGAGAGACTCCTGAGTTGGGGGTGGGGTTGTTACCTGAACTGCCTTTTTCTCAAGCAAGACCTCCCATGCCTAGGCCCAAGCTCTGCTGGGTGGGGCCTGTGCTGCCCCTGTGAATTCTGGGGGAAGGTTCCTCACATTGGAGAGCTGTGCTATGTGTCTCTGTGGGTGTCATTCTCAGTCTTGTATTGCCCAGAAGCTAATTCAGACATAGGGGCTGGGAAGGGCCTTCGGCCTGTCTGACTTTCATTATCCTTGTGAGGAAAAGTGGGTCTTCGGAGGCCAGAGACCCTCCTCGGCTGTCTCACAAAGCTGCACGACTGGGCGCCGAACCCAGGTCTCCGGACCTGTGTACTTTGCTCTCCTTAGAGCAGCAAGTGAACCCAGAGCTGACCCTGCATCCATATTGGGTCCACAGTGACTATCAGAGCCTTGAGGAGAGAGAAACTGGAGAAGACATCTAAGACATCCCTTAGTCTCTGAACGAACCCCTCTCTCGTCTGCAACAGCCCCCCTGAGAGGAAAGGCTTGAGTTGTTTCAGCCTTTCAAGGCAACTTCTTAGTGGGTAATAATTAATTAGCAAGTGTGACTAATTGATGGCTTCCCCTCCCACTTATCCCCTTCCTCTGTCCAAAGCAAAAGGCTCCAGGTGCCAGCTGCCAGCCCTGCTAGAGTCTTGGTCCTGTTTCCTAGTTGCTTGTCCTCTTCTGGGGAGGGTGGGAGGATGCCCTGAGGTGGGAGAAAGACCCCAGCTGCCTGCTTCTCTGGGCTAGAAAGAGTAAGGGTTTGAGACAAATGGACAGCATGAACTAACAGTTGCCCTAGCTTCCTGGAAGTCCCAGAGGTTAGGTACGTGGCCGGTCCCTTCAGTGCGTCCGTCAAGGCGCCACGTCAACTTTTATTTCTTTTATTCACGCCTTCAGTCTCCAGACTTGCTTGGAAGATTGAAATTCCAGAGTGCAAAGTACATGTCGATTTCAGGGGCTTGGTTTTAACCATTGCTGCCCACGGCGCGCTGATAAGCTGTGCTGTTTACACAATCTAGAAAAACTCTCCTTACCCACCTGCTCTTTCGGGCTCAGTCAGCAGACGTGGGGAGCTTAGCTGACAGAGGAGCTTACCCCCTCCTCTCTGCTTCACGGTCAGTTCTTCCAAGGAGCACCATTCTGCTCGGTTGTCTGTCAGGCAGGGACGAAGCACCCCGCTCCCACCGTGCCCCACCCCTGCAGCCCTCGTCCTCTGTGGAGGCAGCAGGATAAGTTCCAGACAGAAACTCTGAAGGACTTTTAGACTCTTGCTCAATGAGCTGACTCAGTGAGGTGGTGGTGGCTGGCCTCTGTTTCCAGACCTCCGCCTGGGCTCCACCCACCCTTCCCCACCCCTGCTCTAGCCAACAGCTGCCAGCCATGGCCAGCTGGGATCCCTCTGAGGGTGTGGGTTTGGAAAAGAGATAAGGGGCAGTCACAGGTGTTTGGGTTAGTGACGTGCTGGGTTGTAGCTATACCACCAAAGTGCTCTCCCATCACAGAGGGGCAGAGAAGCCAGTGTTTTCCTTTCCATCCTTGGTAACTTCTAGTCTGCTCCCAGCCATCCAATAGACTCCTCCCACCTAGCTATGGAGTGTAGAGCCTACAGGTTAACTCCTCCTGGGGAAGTCTCCTAGGTATGCTGGTGGCTTGGGATTCAGGACAACTCTCTGGCATGGAACTGCTTCCTCGACCTACAGGTGAATAACCAGGTCCAGACAGCAAGGTGTCCTGGTCCTTGGGTCCCAGACTGGCTTTGGCTTTGTGCTCACTGCCCAGCCAATTCTTGCCAGTGCCTTTAGCCAGTGGGGCAGTAGGCTGGCCATGCCTCATGCCTCACAACTTGAGAACACAGTGTTCTCGAGGTGAGGATGGCTGTACCTCATAAAGACAGCTTGTCATCTCCTTCCTTTGCCATCCTGTCCCATCTTCCCGCCTTCTCATCTCCTCTCTGTTATTTTTCTTGGTCTTGTACAGCCGCCAGTTCATTCAGCCTCTTTGGACCTAGGGGATTTTCTGTAGAGGAGACGTAGCGAGGGGGAGCGAGGCTGTACCCTAAGGGTGTCCCACCACCCCAGAAAACCTCTCACCCCCAGACCATTCCAGAAACACAATCCTCACTGCCATTTCCCCACCTCAAACATCAAAACCACAGGCGGCTTCACAGAGTGTTCTTGTTATTTTCTCTTAAAAGCTGGAAAAACGCCAGGCAACCTACCCATCCTGGCCCGGGCTGGGACCGGCGCAGCCCCTTCTTCCTCTGCGCCCCTTCCCCCCAGAAATTCATCATGGAGAGCAAGGATGAGGTCAGCGACACGGACAGTGGCATCATCCTGCAGTCTGGTGAGTGATGTAGGAAATTCCCCTGCCCTGGTCGCTGCTGACTCCAGACTGACTCCCTAGGCCTTGGGCTAGTTAAGCTAAAACTCCCAAAGGGCTAGAGAAGGAGAGGTGGCGAGGGAAGTGGGGGGACTGGATGGTCTGGCACCTCCAGGAACTGTAGTTTTCCTTGCTGGAAGACACTAGCCAGGAGTTTCTGTCCTGTCTGGAGCAGGGATCTGTTATATCTAACTTTAGCTGCAGCGATGAACTAAGAAGCCGAAAACTCTTATCTAACAACTGTTAATGTCCTGTCTCTCTACTAAGTCTGGGCCTGTGGGTCTAGACTGCCCTGGCTTCGAGAGAGGACAGGAGACGAGGGGGAAGACACAGTTCTGCCCATGGTCCCTTCTCCCCACAGGTCACCTGGTGGGACAGCTCTTCCTTTGCACTATAATGGTACCAACCTTTGGGCAGCCAGGAGATAGGATGCTTTGTGGTTGTGACACAGACCTTAGCAGCTAGCTTGTAATTTGTGGGCAATGATGAGACTGTAGGGGTGTGTAGGGGTGGTCAACGGTATCCTAGGGATGCCTTGCTTCCGCAGTCCTGAGCAGGTGTCCCTTGTCTTCCTGCAGGCCCAGACAGCCCTGTTTCACCAATGAAGGAGCTGACCAATGCCGTGCGCAAGCAGCAGAGGGCCCTGGAAGCGAGGCTGGAGGCCTGCTTGGAGGAACTCCGTAGGCTCTGCCTGAGGGAGGCGGTGAGGAGGCCCCTGGAGCCCCTGCCCCTTCAAGCTTAGGGTTCATCTCAGGAGCCCTGGAGCAATGCTTTGGGATATTGGGGCCGAAGGGAAAGTCACATTGTTGAAGGGATTGGAAATCAGACTGAGGTCTGGGCCTAGAGTCTCCCTCATGTGGGTTTGACCTGAACACTGGGTAGAGGGGAAATAGACCTGGCAGATGTCCAGGTACTGGAGAGGAACAGATGAGGGGCTGCAGAGAGGTCAGAGAGATGACCGCACATTTGATAAATGTACCTTGGGTCAGGGTAGCCTTTGGGAGGAAGTGATCAGATGGGCTGAGAAGGCGAAAGGGGAGAGAGCGGGGTGCTCGAGAATGGGGGTCAGAAGACAACTGTGGCATGCTGGGAAGAGCTGGGCAAGAGCACAAGTTGCTCTTGATTTCTAGAATTCTTGATTTCTAAGGTTTCTGGGACGTCAGGCCCATGCAGCGTGGGACTAGACAGCAAGTTTAAATGGTTGAGTGAGGGCGGAGCAGGTGGTGAGGGCCTGACTTGACTCTGCCCCCTCCAACCCCAGGAGCTGACTGGAACTTTGCCAGCAGAATATCCCCTTAAGCCGGGAGAGAAGGCCCCCAAGGTCCGGCGCAGGATCGGAGCAGCGTACAAGCTGGATGAGTGGGCTCTGCACAGAGAGGTGAGGAGCGTCCGAGGGAATGGTCTCTGTGCCCCATCCCCGGAGGCTGACGACCGAAGCGGTCCAGTGCTCTGGCAATGTCTGCCATCCAGTCTGGGTGCTGGCGGTGTTAACCCAGGGCTTCTCCTCCTGAGTAGCCCAGATGGCTCTGAGTAAGCATGCCACCTCAGCAGCTGGGGAGCTGAGCTCTAGGGAAGATACTGGGCTTGGCCCTAGTGGGCAGAGGATTGAGAATACCAATAACCACCACGAAGAAGCAGTTGCCAAGGAGGTTGGTGTAGCATGAGGCCTGACCTTTCTCAGCCTAGGTAGAAGGAGGTGGGGTGGCTCTGGCCTTAGGTGACCTTCCCCATGAGTTGGCATGCTTGGTTCTTTGGGGTCAGGAAGGAAAGTGCCCCACTTAAGTCCTCTCCCAGTCCTGCACAGCAGGTAGCTGGGGTGGGACTCTCATAATTGACAAGTTGACTTTGAGCTCCTCCCACCGCTCCACCCTTTGCTCTGTATCCCTGGACACTGTTGCCTGCTCACCACCGGGTCAGAGCCGCCTGGAGTCTTCTGTTCCCCCTAGCGCCAAGGACTCTTCTTGGCCCTCACTCCCAGTTCCCCCCTGTACCCCCAGGACCCCCTAAGCAGCCTGGAGCGCCAGTTGGCTCTGCAGCTTCAGATCACCGAGGCAGCTCGAAGGTTGTGTGCGGAGGAGAACCTCAGCAGACAGGCTCGCAGGCAGCGGAAGCATGCGGCTCTGCAAGAGGAGAAGAAACTGAGGGAGCTCGAGCGCCGCCTGGGTGATCGGCGGCGGAACAGCGAGCCCCCTCCCACCACTGTGCCCTCCCTGGGCAGAGGTGAGCCCGCTCTCCTGAGCTGCGCAGGCCTCTCACAACGCAGCCCTGTACTCCATTTTGCATTATGCGTTTGGCTACTGCCTGTGTTAATGTTTCTAGCGCACCATCAGGGTACTCCTTCCTGGGTCCACAGAGACTCGGTCCTTACCTATGTACCCCACCAAGGCATCTCCACCCTGAGAGACCTTCTCCATCCATTTCCTCTTTCTGATCTCCCTCACAGTACCCCACTTTTACAAAACTTTATAGACAGAAGGCATTTCTCTGCCTGATCATAATCCAAGGATTTATTCAATCTGGACTATTACCTTCAGGGCAAAGTGCAGTAAACCGAAGGTTCTACAGTGATGCGCTTTCCTCTAGGCCGAATTAGGAATTTACTGTGGCTGTGGGTAGCCGATTGCTGATGGGGTCAGTGCCTCCTACTTGGGTGTTTAGGCTGAAGTCCAGTTGTATCCTCAAAGTCCTTTCAGTGTCTACAACTGCCGTGGTCAGGAGTCCTGGTTTTCACGTCTCTGCTGAACCATTCTTGTAGCTTAGTGCCTGAGCTCCGATCCAGAGATGAGGCTGCAGGGTACCTCAGAACCAGAGCCAGCCAAAAATGACTTCAGTATGTCCAGTCCGGTGAGCTTTTGAGCCCTCAGGTGGGACTGTTTTCCTTTGCCCTGACCCAAATCCGGCTTGTCAGGTCCGGACTTGTAACCTCCATTTCACTCCTGGTTCAGCCCTGCTCCCAGAAATCTCTTGGCCTGGCCCCGGCCGCATCTGAAGGAGGCAGTGTTAGGGACAAGCTGCTGGCCTGTTCACTGTAGCCTTGGATCAGAGCCTCAAGCTCAGCCTGTGGAGCAATAGCCTCCCACGCACCCCTGTGTCCGTCGCCACACAGCTGGGTTCTTGCCCAGCTGTTCTCTTCCCTGACTGGACACACGTTAGAAGCCTGCAGGTCCTTCCTGTTCCCCATGCTCCATGCCTCAAGTAGGCCTTGCTTTCGGCAGCTGCGACTAGTTCAGAAGTGTGTGAATAGACACCAGCCAGGTCACCCTTGGAAACCTGGAGTAGATGGCAAAGAACAATGTTCTGCTATGTCATGGCTGACCGAGAAACCCAGAAGTGCATTAGACTGAGTCAGGGCCTAGTGGCCAGACTCTTCTGCTTCCAGTGGGTCTGGTCCCAGTACAGGACGTCACTCTCACTTCCCAAGGCTCCAAGAAAAAGGCCACTTTCTGTTTAGTCTCCATTTCCCACAGGCCCTGGGTATGGAAAGGATAGCAAGTGACCGAAGCGTAATGATCCCCAAGGGCCACCTCTGTACTCGGAGGAGCCATTAATGATGAGATGCGTCCTCTCCCGGTGGGTCTCAGCCCCTCTGGTCCCTCTCCTGCATGTACTGTTTGGGAGCTCCTTTGCCCATAGGTGCTGACATGGCTAGGCGTTTGTGTTCAGAGAGGGACTTTGCTGGGGGGAGGGGGAGGATGGTGTCACTACCGCTGCCATTGAGACTGATGACACTCCTTGTCGGAAGTGGGGAAGCAGGCCAGGACGTGCCTAGGGCT